GGTTCAGAGTTTAGTGTTTAAGGGTTTAGCGTTTAGGTTTGAAGGTTTAGGGTTTAGGCTTTAGGGTCCAGGGGGTTGATTTCAAGGCTTAGGGTGGGTTACCGTCTAGTCGAGTTTAGGACTTAGGGTTCGGAGTTGGACTCAAGGTGCAAGATCTAAATCTCGGTCTAGAGCTTCGGTTTTTTGTTGTAAGGGCTGTGTCCCACCTGCATGAGGGGCTGTGGTTATAGGGTGTACTTACAGGATCATGGGACTTAGTAACTAGGGTATCATTGGGGTAAATATGCTTAACTTACAACTAGCTATAACCCAATTAAGGTACTTATAGCCATACTTACTACATCCCATGATCCTCCAAGTAGGATTTCCGGGACCTCAACTCGCCACCTTCCACCCCTAAACCGGCAGTCGCTGAGCAGGAAAAGGCGCCTCAAAATCTCAAATGCGATGTCAACGTGGAGAGCCACCTGCCCAAAAGTACAGTCATAGTCAGCTTGGGTCTCATCTGAGCTGTTCTTAAAATCCCCTTGAAATAACAATTCGTGTCCTGCTTTGCAATATACTGTTGTACTAAACTTGATGATTATTCTCAACTTATGGGGGAAGGCTTGCAAAGAGTCGTCTTCCCAAACCGTCTTGAAACACGTACAAGCCCCCAAGAAAGTGGCTGTGAGCCCACGTAGAAGGAATGAGAAAGAAGGCTAAACCCTAAGCCCAAACCCCTAAACCCTAAACCCTAAACCCAAAGCCCTTCTGGGGGGGAATCAATAGAGCGCTTCAATTTAGAGAACCACCAGGCAGAATGTTCCTTGGTTAAGGTGCTTGAGTCAACCCTTGCAAGCATAAATCATTAACCCTATACCCGAATGAAAGCCTGAACACTTACAGCAGATCGCCAAGAACTTTGCAGAATAGTTGGAGCTCGGGTACTACCCCCACAGCAACAGTCTATAATCGTGCTACTAGTAATGTCCTAATATAGCTATATTATGGACGTTATCCAACCGTTACGGGGTGGGGGCCGTACCCAAAGTGGGAGCACACTTCGAACCATGATTTGGAAAAACTCTGAAGTCCAGACCAACCCCCTGTAAATCCTTGAAAACCCCGGAAATAATTTCCAAACATAAGACAACCCTCTAAAAACCTTGCCAAAACAAGTGGAACAGAATCTCGAAACCGCCTGAAACCATGAATCCTGAAATCCCTAATCCCTAAAACCAAAACCTTCCCAGAGAGCCCAACACCCCTTACTTAAGGAACATGGCTTTAATCATAATATGAAGCCCTATATAGTTTAAGCCATATTCCTTAGTTAAGGGGTATTGGTTGGAAGCTGCCCCCACCCTGTAATAGTGACTATAAGGATTATATAGAATTATATTAGGGCCCTATTATATTCCTATTAGCAGTCCGGGAGAGCCCAATACCCCTTAACTAAGGAACATAGGGTTCCTTTAAAGGGATCCTAATAAGGGGATCTATAAGGGATCTTAAACCCAGAGCGCCGAATACCCCTTAATTAAGAGGAATATAGCTGAAATCATAATATGAAGGAAGCCCTATATAGGTGGTTGTCAAACTTATGGTCCCTTTTTGGGTTCCTATTATAATACGGCACCTAATACTTCGGGTACCCAGAAAAGGAATCGAATTTTGACAACCACCCATATGCTTTAAGCCATACCTGGGCCCCCAAGGAACCTACCGTTTTAGGGTTCCCTAATATGATTTCTTTATATAAGTCCTTTAAAAGGTAGGTTACTTGGGGTTAAGGTATTCCTTACTTAAGGGGTACTGGGCTCTCTGGGTCCCCAAGCAACCGGGCCTGAGGCGTCCTCCAGCTGTGTTACCAGGCTGCGATGAACAGCCGAAACAGCTCGGGGATTGAAAGCTTGGGCACTTAAAGGATCATGGGACTTAGTAACTCGGGTTATTGGTAGGGTAACTATATTTGTTATTACGTATAACCCCGATTAAGGTACTTATGCCCGTACATACTAAGTCCCATCGTCCTCCAAGTAAGGTTCAGAAGCTCCGGGCAAAGGGGAGTGCGGATTTCTTGTTAGTTCAGGCTTTGGGGCGAAGGCTTTAGGTTAGACTTTAAGTTCAGAATTTTGGGCTTCCAGGGTCTAGGGGTTTAGGGTTTAGGGCTAGGGCTTACGGGTCAAAGGTTCGGGGTTTGAGGGTTTAGGGTTTAAGTGTCTTGGGATCGACGGGCTTTTCCACGAGTTGCGGGACAACGGCCTTAGGCTCTCGGGGCCCTAAACCCTACACCCTAAGGGTTGGGGTTTTAGAACTTAGGGGTTTTATTGCTATCTTGTCGCTTGCGGTTGGGAGCTGCTGAGCGTCATGCTTCCGAGTCTAAGGCTTTACTAAAAGGATCATGGGACTAGGGTAACTATACTTATAACTACTTATAACCCCAATTAAGGTACTTATAGCCATACTTACTAAGTCCCATGATCCTCCGATTGAGGAACCCTTCCAGATCCCGTTAAGGAGCCATATTATAGAACCCTATAGTGCCCTCAAAAGGAACCCTAAACCCTACTTACTGAGTCCCATGATCCTCCCACTATAGGACTCTTATAGATCCCTCTAAGGATCCCTTTAAGGAACCCTGTTATAGAACCTCATAGTACCCTGAAAGGAACCCTAAACCCTACTTACTGAGTCCCATGATCCTTTAAATACAAGCTTCCACTATTATAGTATCCTTATACTAGCCTCTGTATGGGTGGTTGTCCAAATTATGTTCCCGATTTGGATCTTTATTTTAATGCGGCACCTCATTTTTAGGGTACCCAAAAAAGGCCCCGAATTTTGACAACTACCCATATAGAACCCTTTTAAGGATCCCTTTAAAGGGACCCTAAACCATACTTACTAAATCCCATGATCCCTTAAATACAAGCTTAAACTACTAAAGTATCCTTATACTAGCCGCTATATTACCCTTTTTAGAATCCCTTTAAAGGGAACTCCAGAAACTTGGAATATGGTTTCATGGTAGGATACCCTATAATTTACCATAGAAGGGTTAGGATAATCATATTCCAACTTTCTGGCTTTTACCTTAATGCTGAAGGCTTAAGGTTAAGGGTTATTATAGCGGTTAGGGACCCTTTTTAGAATCCCTTTAAAGGGACGCTAAAGGCTTAAACTTAGGCGGTTGTCGGCACCTGGGGACTCAGGACTTCAGGAGGGTTTTCGGGCTCAGGGTTGCTTTCTTTCGAGTTGTAGGGTTTAGGGTTTAGGGTTTAGGGTTTAGGGTTAAGGGTTTAGGGTTAAGGGCTAAGGGTTTAGGGTTAAGGGCTAAGGGTTTAGGGTTTAGGGCTTCGAGCCTGAGGAGCTAAATTCAGGGATACTTTCTCCCTAAACTAACAGTTTAAAAAAGAACGTGCTCATTGTAGGCCTTGACACAAGCACCTACCTAGCCGGTGAATGGTCACCCAAACAGGGTTTAGCCTTTAGAGGTTTAGGGTTTGGGATATGGGGCTTCGATTCGTGCCGTGCGGTGCGCACGTCGAGGCGTAGAAGCCCGAAGATGTAAAGGAGTATCTGAAAAGTAGGAGTTCATGTTGTCTGTATAAGGTTCCTGCTATTTAAGCTCTATACCTCAAGCATTCGTACTTTCTGAAGCTTCCCTACGGGTGACTTGCGAATTATGCGGCAGGTTTGCGCAGCTACGTGCACAGCAGGCAGTCTGGCAGGGTCGGCTGCTTTCTGTTGATGATATAAATCCTGCATTACCTTAAGGACCCGAAACTATGGGAATTATGGTATATTCCTTATTATGGGTAATGCAGGATTTATATCATCAACCGTTTTCACTGCAACAGCAGATTCGATCCGATGAGGATAAGGGGCTGGAGTCGGCACACGGATTTATGGCATTTAAACTTGCCGGGTATCATGGGGGAACTAAAGGCTAGCCTTTTTGGTTATATGGTGTTATATAGGGACTATACTACCCAAAAAAGGTAAAAGGTTACCTACTCGACTGCTAGGCTTTCAAACCCGAAGCCCTAAACCGTAAGCTTGGGGTTGAAGGGTCCGAGAGAGTCTCGCCAGAGGCAACTGCACAGGGCTCTCGAGAAGAATGATGCAATGGCTTCGGGTTTAGGATTTCGGATTTGGGGTAAGGGGCTTCTGGCAATTGCTGACGTCTTGTCTTCGATTACAAGCTTTGACAGATACCAATCATCCGTGTGGTCACCAGATCAGCTTCCTTGCCCACACACTCAGGCGGCCAAGTTACATCGAGCTAGAAACTCCCTCAGGGAGGTTCCGTGGTCATTTCCTCGCCACGTCACGTGGCACAAAATGCGAGCTCAAGCTCATCGCCCTTTGGACCCTGCTGGGATTGCTATGCATACACCGCAAGCCCAAAACCCTGGACCCTAAACCCTAGTTCTGGACGGCGCAGGATTCTGTCCATCAGCCGGCGAAGCCGAAACCACTGTACCATAGAAGATTATGAAACCTGCGGCAGCTTTGCTGCTCGCCCCATACTGGGGCATGAACCCAAGGACTCCAAAACCCCTCAATTAAGGAATGGACCTTCAAATATACTGGGAACCCCAATAGGCTTTGAAGTGCGTTTCCTTGATTCCGGGCTGTTTGGAGTCTCTGGGAATGAAGGGATGTGTCAAAAATTTGGGCGGAGGAGGCCCTTGTAGCAGAAGCTTTACTGTCTACGGTCCGGTCTTTCAGTATGAAACTCAAATCAACCCTTGTAAGAACCTTACAAGGCTTGGGGTCCCCTCTTTTCTGAAACTTCCCAGAAAGCATTGTGATACTTTCTGAACACCCTAGGAAACCTTTGATTACTGGGGTCTCCTCTTTTCTGAAACTCCCCTTGATGGAATCCCTTCAGGACTCTGACGTCCGTGTCCAGCGCTTTGGCGGCTGGGAAGGGTACAGAAAACATCCCAAAAACATTGGGATGAGCCAGCGCGACATCCTAGGGCGTGAGGGTCCCATGCACTTCCTGCTCACCCCGAGGCAGTGGAGCCCGTCACCGCCACCTACTGAGTGAAGAGAGTTTGGAGTTTAGGGGTTTAGGGGGATTCCTTCAGCCTGAAGCGGTTCTACCATGGCTTCATGAAAGTTCAGGGGCTAGTTGGGGGTTCGGGGGCTTGACTAGGATGAGTGTTTCGGGTTTAGGGGCTTAAGTGGTTTAAGAGGCTCGTTTTAGGACCTTTGTGCTTTCGGGTTTTGGGTACTTGGGGACATAGTAAGTATGGTCATAAGTACCCTAGTTGGGTTTATAAGTAATTACAAGTACACTTACCCTAATTATAACCCTAGCTAGTAGGTCCCATGATCCTTTAACCAAGTAGGCTTTAGGGTTTACGTAGGGTTTTAAAGATCTGGGTTGAGGAACTACTACGAATCAGGACTTGGCGCCAAGGCTGCTTAGGATCTCCGGGTGGAGGGTTTGGAGTTTAGGGTTATGGGATTCGGGTATAGATTAGAATCATTAGAAGCTGCCCCCACCCTGTAATAGTGACTACAAGGGTTATATAGGATTGTATTAGGGCCCCATTATATTCCTATTATACCACTATTACAGGGTGGGGGCAGCTTCTAAGGTATAGAGTTTAGGAGTTTAGGGTTTATGTAGGGTCCGGGTTAAAGGATAGGAGAGAAACAAGTCTGCTCTGCACATCAGAAGACTGTTAGCGTTTGAGCACATGTGTTAGCGTTTGAGCACAGGTGTTGGATCATGAACGAAGACTCATAACGCCAGCCAATCATCATCACATATCAAGCCATTCCTTTTGCCAACTAAGCCCCTTCCCCAGCAGGACCCTTACCAAACCCTTGTACCCAAAGAACGCACTACCCCTCAACACAAAGGAATATACCTCAAAACATCTGTAACTATTCAGGGTTGCTGGTTGTGATCGGAAATCCAATCAAGCCCATGCAAAGCCTTATAGACATCCTGTCAAACCCAGTTACAACCCCTTTCGAAACCCTGATAAATCATGTAAAGCCTTATGAAACCATTTATACAACCCTGGCAAAATCACATGAACCACCTGAAACCTCTTTTCATCTCCATCAAACTCTCTAACCCCAAACCTTAAACTCTTAAACCCCAAATGAAACCCTGCACGCGAATCCCTAAACCATCAACCTGGCAAGTCCTCTAATTATTCGAAAACAGCGGGCGCCTCTGCTTCGATCCGTGTGGCCTGCGCTTGGCTTTGGGAATGGGAAAATACTAAGTTTGGGGTTTTGGATGGCGTTAATCAGGGCGTTTCGGATCGGCTTCCGGTGAGTTGCGGATCACGGGGTGAGTTTCGGGGCCCAGTTTCGGGGTCAGTTTCGGGGCGCGAGGTGGTCAGTTTCGGGCGGTGCGGTGATCAGTTTCGGGGCGCCGGGGGAGGAGGGGATTCAGGATGTTGCCAGGTGACACGGCGACTACTACAGTACCACTCGAGTAATACTGTGTGTACTACTACTGGTGCCGCAGGTACGTTTAGTACTACAGTACTGCTAGTAGTACCAGTACGACAGTACGAGTAGTTCTTGCCACGAGTACTACGGCTGGTTGTGCTCCGAGTAGTTGCTACGCGTACTAATGCGTACTATGAACTGGCCGCGCCCTGATCCGAAACTGATCTGCCCGAAACTCAACACCGAAACTACCTCGAAAACCCCGAAACTCGCAACCTCCGCGTCAATAAGTGGACAACACTGAGTTTAGGGTTAAGGATTTAAGGATTGGGTTTCGGGTTGTTGGGCTTAGGGTATAGACGGCTGCAAAGAATACGCGATCTACCCGAGGGCTTGAAGTATAATCCCACAGACCGTGCTAACCCTAACTCAAAAACGTGTGCTGCGTTTCCAACGGATACTACCCACGCCACGACAAGTCGAGATTGCATGAGTCATATTTCGTGACGCACAGAGTCATTAAGCCCCAAACTGTAAGCCCTAAACCGAAACCCTAAACTTAAACCCGAACCCCAGGCCCTAAACCATTCAGATCAAAGATCCATGATATTCACCAGCGCATTGCACTCGACCCTGGATTGCCCTGAACCCTAAACCCTAAACTTGAAAGCCTAAACCCTACTTTGCGGATCCTTGGACTTAGTAAGCATGGCTATAAGTACCTTCATTGGGCTTGTAAGTACTTATAAGTACAGTCACCCCAACAACAACCATAGTCACTCAGTCCCATGATCCTTTAAGTAAACCCTAAACCCTAAACCCCCAAACCCTATAGATCCCTTAAAGGAACCCTTAAGGATCCCTTATAGATCCCTTTAAAGGAACCCTAAACCCCGTCTCACCGAAGCCCGCCTCCTGCCGAAACACCGTACTGGAACTTGAACTTCTGGTTACAATGTTCACCAGTTTCGAAAGCTCCAGCATCGACTCCTGCTGCTGGGAAGGACGGTGCGGGTTTAAGGTTGGGGTTTTGGGCTTCAGGCTTGTGGATATAGTGGTTTAGGATTTAAGGTTCCGGGTTTAAGGTTTGGGGCTTGGGATTCGAAAAACTGAAGATGTCTAGAAGCCCATTACAGGTGGGTAGTTCCTCTTCCATAGTACTCCCATAAGACCCCTTTACCTTATAGGAGTGGTATGGAAGGCTTATGGGAGACTACCCACCTTAAAACTACCCACCTGTAAATGGCTTAGAATGTCGGGCTTTGGGTTTCAGAACAATACTAACCCCTAAACCGGGATTTGCGTTCACCTTGAGTAACCAATGTAACAATGTACCTGAAGGAAAGAACTATGTTCCTGAAAAAATGGTACATCTACGTTGTGGTTACTCTGGGTAGGGTTTATGATCCTCTAGCTTGTATTTTGGGGGGGGGGGGCGGGCTCCCAATGATAGGACCATAAAGCTAAACCCTTGAGTTTCCCAAGGCGCCACCTACTTCTTCATTTGAAGCATCGAGCATGTCTCATCAGTGAAACCTTCGGGAGTGGCAGGTTAGGGCGCTGGTATTGCCATGAAATACTACCAGTACTACCTTTACTACTATTAACTATTACAACTATTACAACTATTACATCTAATACTACTATTACTCCTATTACTACTACATCCCCGGGCCGAAAGTTTTGAGTTACCGGGCAGTATTACTACTAGTACTACTAGTACTACTACTAGTACCACTAGTACTACTAGTACTACTAGTACTACTAGTACTACTAGTACTACGACTACTACTATGACTACTATTGCTAATATTGCTAATATTGCTAGGATTGATAGGATTGCTACTATTGCTATTGTTACTTACTACGACTACTACTGTAATGCTTCTGCGACTGATATTACATGTAGTTCGGCTTAAGTTTGTCTTTACAGCTGTCATAAGCTCCCGACTACACAGCGTAAACGAGCATGTGGTTTAGGGTTTAGGGTATTTCCGGCTTGCAGCTACCCATGCGATGTCAACTCGAGGTGTCCTTGGAGAAGCTGCTTCTGTTTGATTCGGAAATAAGTAATCCTTTCTGAAGTCCTGAACTGTTGAGGGGCGGTGTGGTCAAGGCACTAGTGATACGGTTGATGATATACATCCTGCATCACCATAATTAGCAATAATATACAATTATTCCCATAGCTTAGGGTCCTTAAAGTAATGCAGATTTTATATCATCAGCAGTAGGCAGAGCTCTTTCAACGATCAGTTCATGCCAGTTGCTTCTCGGGCATCCTCTATGCGTCGATTGATTGACCCTAAACCATAAGCCTGAAACTAACTTACACCCGTAAACCCTAAATAAACCCTGAATTTAGCCCGATCCTGGAAACCTGGGGAGAAAACGGTATGGAGCCTCGGCCGTTGTGATTTGCGGTTTGGGATGTAAGGTTTAGGGTTCCGGGTTTACTGAGGCTCAGGGTAGGGGATATATGGGCCCCTCCGATAATCCAAAGCAGTCGCAGCCGCTAGCTCGAGCCCTTGAAGCCTAAAACCCAAGGACAACAAGCAGCCTCCTCCTAAACAGAAGCCTCTGTACAAACTCTATGCAAAAAGCTCTGACGTTCCATCAGCACGCTGTGAAATCACTAAGACTACTAAGAGGCCCAACCCAGCAGCATCCAAGCTGGCAGTCCTGGTGGTAGGCTGACAGAGAGGCGTCAATGTTGCTTCTGAAGGCGTGAACGAGTGCTTTGGCTTGCTCGCCGTTCTTGTCGATGTCCTTCGGCTAAGGACCCGAGCGATTTGGAGCTGATGGCCCTTGAAACATTTACCTGGGTGGTTGTCAAAATTATGGTCCCTTTTTGGGTACCCTAAATAGTCGGTCCCGTATCCTAATAAGGACCCAAAAAGGGACCCTAATTTTGACAACCACCCAGACCTGATGCCCGCAGCAAAAACCCTATCATTGGAGGGCGTCTAACTCGGATGCCATACATCAGTCTTTACAATCGGGATTTCGGGATTGAAGACTGAATCAGGGTTCCGGGTTCAGGATTTAGGGCAGCTTAGGGTTGAGAAGAAGCCGGTACCAAAGGGCACTTGATAGTATGAGAGATAGGGTGTTGGAGCTTATAGACTGAATCCGGCAACCATTGGTAACCATTGGGAAATAGATACTGCTGATGGACAATATCCTGCATTACCCATTATAAGGAATATACCATAGTTCCCATAGTTTCGGGTCCTTAAGGTAATGCAGGATTTTGTCCATCAGCCGTAGTACAACCCTGAGGCTCCGAAACCCTAAACCCCTAAACCCCTAAACACGTAAACCCCTAAACCCTAAACCCCTAAGCCCTAAACCCCTAAACCCTAAACCCAACCGAACAGAAAAAGTGTCACGGACTTTCTGGGGGGAGGTTTGGGCTTTGGGGGGCTTAGATTTGGGATCTGGCTACGAGAGTCCCAGCTGGGGCTTAAGACGAGCTTTCGTAACTTTAGGGTTTAGGGTAAAGGGGGGTTTAGGGTTTAGGGTTCAGGGGGGCTTAGGGTTTAGGGGGGTTTTGTGTTTTTTTCGGGGGGGTTCAGGGTTTAGGGTTTTGGAGCCTTAGGGCCTTAGGGAATGGAAGTATCTAAAGGTACTAGAGGCGCCTTACTCGGATGTGAATAGAGCTTTTCCGGTATATCATAGTAGAGTTCTCCTAAACCCGAAGCCCTAAACCCCAAAACCTAAAACCCCAAACCCCTAAACCCTAAGCCCTAAACCCCAAAACCTAAAACCCCAAACCCCTGAACCCTAAACCCTAAAGTTACGAAAAGCCCTGTAGAGCCCATATATCCGGAGCTTTAAGAGCCTTAACCGTCTTAGAACAGGTAGGGTGCTGGGGCGAGTAATGGAATCATCTAAAGGCACCCTTGTAATACAGGCCCCTGTACTAAATCCTTGCAATAGCCGCTAAAGTAGCGCTTATAGACCCCTTTAGAGGAAGCCTATTGATATTTATTACCCGAGGAACCCCTGTAGAGCCAAAGGAACCCTCGTTTTCAGGGCCGCTATACTAAATAGCAGCCCTTCTAGGGCCTTTACAGGAAACCACTTAATTGTTAAGGCCCCTATAGACACTAAACCCTAAACCCCATAGATCCCTTTAAGGAACCCCAGGGATCCCTTTAAGGAGCCCTTTATTAAGGCCCCTATATTAGAGCAATTGATCCTCCAGCTTAAGGTGCAGCTGGTCAATAGCCGCCTGTCAGGTGGTTCGCAGGCTGCCGAGGAGCTTAGAATTTTGGGCCTTTAGAGTTTAGGATTTAGGGTTTACGGTTCAGGTGGTTCCCAGGCTACCGAGGAGCTTAGAATTTTGGCTTCAACCTTAAAGGGATCTATAGGGTTCCTTAAACGGATCTTGAGGGTTCCTCAAAGGGATCCATGGGGTTTAGGGTTTAGGGTTTGCTTGGAGGGGCTTCCGGGACGTAGGGTTAAAAGTAGGGTTATAGTTGGGGTAACTCTATTTAGTGTACTTATAACTCTACTTGTAGCCCACTTACCAAGTCCCCTGCCCCTCCAAGTAAGACCCTCAACCCTAAAACCCTTGCCTATAGATCCCTTAAAGGAACCCTTATAGATCCCTTTAAAGGAACCCTAGAGCTTAGAGCTTAGGGCTTAGAGTTCAGAGTTGAGGGGCTTTGGGTTTTAATGCGTATTTAGAGCTTAGGGCTTATGGCATATCTATATTGTAAGGGGCATACTTACGGTTCTGTAGTCGGGTCCCCTTTAAGGGGGCATTACAGGGTTCTATAGTAGGGCTCCCTATATCCTATGTGACCTTGGTGCTTAGGGTTTGGGGTATACAGAGCTTAACAAGTTAAAGCTCAGTACAATAGTAACGGGCTTCTATTATTTTGAACAATATTCTATTGTACGCTGTGTACACAAGGCCATAATGATGATATAATCAGGTGTCACAACTTCTTCATCCCAGGCCTCTAAGCCTCCCGTATGGATGCGAGCAGTGAACGAAGCGCTCATGTTGGCGATGGCATCGAGGATTGGCTGAGGATCACTGTACCTTAAAGATTGTTGCAAGGGTTCTTAATATGGGATTCAAATCTGCTTATATCGGTCGGGGTCTGAGAAGGGGTAATGAAGGTGCTTTAAGGCCGTATATGGGGTGGAGGAGTTTATAACAGTTTCATCGGGGCTTGATAACAGTTCTGTACTAGGTTCCCCAGTATACCCACAATAATCAATGTATCCGCTGCTTTCCATCATTCCGTCCTAGTACGGAAACCCATGGCTACAAAAAGGGTGCTACCAGGACACCTCATAATTACGAAGAAATGCCCTTATAATACCTCTCTTATTGGTTTTTAGTGTGCCCCAAAAGCCCTATCATAATTACTACGGGCCTATATTAGCCACGCTGCTGTCGGATGGTCTGCAACACCTCCGAGATGTCTACGTCCACCTTGATGTTCTCGATGGCTGTCAAGACTGCCGAGAAATCCACGTCGAGCTTGAGGTCCTTGATTTGCCAGTATCCAAGTACACGGGTGCCGTTTCCCTGCTATACAGGTTGATAAGGAATCCAAAACAAAACCCCTAAACCCTAGACCCTAAACCCCTCAACCCTAAACCCCTAAACCCCTAAACCCTAAACCCCTAAACCCCTAAACCCTGAACCCTAAACCAAAAAAAGCGTACTGATGGGAGGCCCGGGGTCTCGAATGGCTTGCAAATCAACCCGGTTCGCCTCAATGGCTCTCATCACTGCTGTAAAGTCTATGTCCACCTTCACCTGGGTTCCCCAGTAGCCCTTGGGCTTAGGGTTTAGGGTCTCAATAATAAGGGTACCACAAGTCTCAAAGAGCGGTCATGTCATAGAGGGGAGCCGGATTAGCTCAACTTAAGGAGAATCTTCTATAAGGAAGCCCAAAAAAAGAAAGAGGGCAAAAGGGTACTACTGGGGAACCGGGTCACTTGAGAAAGATCGACCCTGTTGGCATCGATGGCTGCCAGAACACGAGAGAAGTCGACCTGGGTAGTTGTTAGAATTATGGCCCCTTTTTGGGTACCCTAAATAATAGGTGCCGTACTCTAATCAGGACCCAAAAATGGGACCACAATTTTGACAACCACCAAAATTAGACCCAAAACCCTAAACCCCATAGATCCCTTTAAGGAACCCTAGGGATCCCTTTAAGGAGCCCTTTATGAAGGCCCCTAGGACCTCGGTCTTCTTGCCATGAATGGCTGCCAAGACCGGGGCGAAGTCGATGTCGAACTTCTGCTCGCGGATGGCTCGGATGACCTGAGAGATTTTTTTCATTCGCAGCGATGGAGTCTGTCTTCAGGCGACTTGGGCCCTGACCTGAGAGAAATCGACATCCAACCTCTTATTTTCAATGCGCGTCAGCGATGCCGAGAGATCGCGAATGGGGCCAAGCACTTCCTTAAAGTCGACATCCAGCTTCTTTTCATCGATGCGTGTCAAGACGGATGTGATGTCAACATCGACGACAGACGGGCCAGGGGCAGCGGGGATCGATATCGAGTTGATAGCGTGGAGAAGTTCGTCAAAGCGTGCTGACAGTGACGACAAGTCTATGTCCAGCTTCTTCTCATCGATGCGTGCCAACACTGACGAGAAATCCACGTCGACCTTCTTCTCATCGATGCGTGTCAAGACTGATGAAAAATCGACGTTGAAGCTCTTCTCGCGGATAGCTTTGAGCACATCATCGATGCGCGTCACGAGTGATGTGAGATCGACATCTGACTTCTTCGCATCAATGTGTGCCAACACATCAGAGAAGTCGACATCTATCTTCTTGGCATCGATGTGTGCCAACACCGATGAAAAGTCAATCGATGAATCAACATCAAACTTCTGTGAGCGGATGGCTTCTAAAAGCGCAGAGAATTTGTCGTCGAAGTTCTTCTCGTAGATGGCTGTGCGCACCTCATCGATGCGTGTCAACACCTCCGACCAGTCTACATCGAACTTCTTCTCGTCGATGCGTGTCAACACATGTGAAACGTCTACATCGAACGTCTTCTCATCGATGCGTGTTAACACCTGTGAAAAATCGACATCGAACTTCTTCTCATCGATGTGTGTTAACACCTGCGTCAGGTCTACATCAAAGTTCTTCTCACGAATAGCTGTCAAGACTGGATCAAAGTCAACCTTGACTTTGGATTCGTCAAAGTGAGTCACCACCGCTGAGAAGTCGAAGGACGAAAAGTCCGCTTCAACCTTTCTGTTCCTCAAATCTTTCAGGTCCCCACTCAGCAAAGCGAAGTTCGCAGACATCTCGGCACGAATACTCTTCATCTCCTGAAGTAGGATATCCGTGTGGCACTCGATTTGGTGCTTCATCCTTACTTCGAGGACCCCTAAGTCCTATGATCCTGCATCCTTACTTCCACAAGCCCAACGAACGAAAGGTTTCACTGCTCAGAGTATGAGCAAAATGTCATAAAGTAGTCTTACCAAAACACTGCTATGGGGGGCCTCAATAATTATAATAAGGCTCCCTTAACTATAAGGGATTTATGGGGGTACTGTAATGTAGGGGCCTTAACATTAGAATAGGGTTTTGGGGCCCATTATAAAATTATCATAAGGAACCCTAAGGAATGATATAGGTCTGGACCAAAACACCTCAAAAAGAAAACCATACGGTTTAAGATACCCTCAAACCCCGAAAGGAAACCTTAAACCCGAAACCATAACCCAGAAGTAGAAACCCAACGCCAATCCGGCCCGGAAAAGGAGCCTTAAATAAGCCCTGGAAAGGGAACCCTCTGCAGAGCTAAGCATCTGCTTCGAAAGCTGTGATCGAACTTGCTCTAATAGCTCCACCTTGAAGTGGCAAGTCGGCTTTCCATGCTTGCCCACATCCTGAATTGCTAACGTAGGGGCCATAATAATTAGAATAGGGTTTTGGGTGATATTATACCTTAGTGATAACAAGGAGCCCCCAAAACCCTCTTCTAATTATTAAGGCCCCCTACACTATTTCCGGTTCAGGGTCCGATGCTTCAGTGTTCAGGGCTTACGGATTAGGCTTTCTGGCTTAGCCGGTTAGGGTTCCGTGCTTCACGACTCGGTCTTGCCCACAGAAGCATAAAGGGTCTTTGAAATATGGGAAGGAAGAAGTAGCAATCAAGAAATAAAAACCCCTGAAGTGCGTGTATAACTACAGTACAGAATACCCCCGAAACCGTAGTAAAGTCATCCTAAGCCCGAAACCCCAAATCCTATAGCTCACTTTAAAGGCATCCCCAGCCCACCTCGATGTCTTCCATGTCTCCCAAGTGTCCATAAGGCGTTTGGAAAGTATCGAGTTTCGACCACTGGTAACGTTCCGCATTCCTTAGCACCAGGTTTGGGAGTTGACTTAGGGGATAGCAGCTCTGGGTTTACGGCTGTGAGGGTTTAGGCTTTGGGTAGTTATCAAAATAAGGGTCCCTTTTGGGGTACCCTAAATATTAGGTGCCGTATTCTATGAAGGACCCAAAAAGAAACCACAATTTTGACAACCACTCATTTGGAGTTTAGGGGCTTAAGGGGAACTCCAGAAAGTTGGAATATGGTTTCAGGGTAGGATACCCTATAATTTACCATAAAGGGTTTAGGATAATCATATTCCAACTTTCTGGCTTCTACTGTAAGGGTTTAGGGTTTTGGTTTAGGAGGTGGAGATGTTTACGGCACTTGCAGCCTATGCTTCCCTTGGTCTCACAGGGGTTGTCTACATTCAGACAGCCGTACGGCAATTCTGCCTGCTTGTGCACCTGTCGTCAGACGTGTGCTGATATTACTAGTGCTACTACTAGTGCTGCAACTACCACTACAACTACCACTACCACTACCCCACTACTACTGCTGCTGCTACTACTACTACTACTACGACGACGACGACGTATGCAACTACAAGCACCACCACCACAACGACGACTAGTCGACCGCAACAACGACTACCAGTGGCATCACCACTGCCTCTACCACGCCCACCCCAACGCTACCAGCACTAAGCCACCCCGTTCTTTCAATACTTGCCTAAAGCAGCACGTTTTTGCTGTAGGGCCCCTTATAATATAATTAGGATAAGGAACCCCCAAACCCCAAATAGTAGAGGCAATTATTTGGGCCCCTATATTGAACATCTCAGCGTCACTTTCGAGATGTCGATGGCACGGAACTGTGCCTTGTTGCTGCTCATAGTGTACGCAGACTCCGACGCGACCGTGCGGAGGCCGTGGTCCAGGGGATCGTGCTCACTGTACTTAGAGCGCTGGTAGTCGAAGGTCCTGAGGGAATATAGGGTTCCTTTAAAGGGATCCTTATAAGGGGATCTATAAGGGATCTTAAGCCCAGAGAGCGCTGGCAGTCGAAGGTCCTGGTTTCTTCGGATAGGAAGCTGAAACGAGGGACCCCAGACCCTCGGAAGGATCCAAAAAGCAGATCCCTGGTAGTATAGGGCCCCAAATTAGGGGATCTACTTTCCAAATCCTCCCGGGGGTCTGGGACTAGGACGACTGGAGTCTACGCGACTGTAGGCCACATGCGATGTGCCAAACTCTCTTGTCAGTTTCGGGTCTCGGTGCCTGAGTTTTGTTGAACCTTCACTCACATGTCCATCCTATGCTGCCTGGAAACTCTGGCCCCAAAGTGGTTAACCCTCAACCCTAAACCCCCTAACCTTTAACCGTAATCCTTAAGCCCTAAACCCCAAACTCCTAAACCCCTGAAGCCTAAACCCCAAACTCCTAAACCCCTAAAACCTAAACTCTAAACCCTAAGCCCCTAAAACCTAAACTCTAAACCCTAAGCCCCTAAAGCCCAACTTGGAACCTCGACCTCCAACAGAAAGCTGAAACCCCGGAAGAGCGGACCCAGTCTTAGTTGTCAACCTGATGACAACCTGAAGGCAAAACTTTGCGAGGTTTAGGGCTTACTTGGAGGGGCAGGGGACTTAGTAAGTATGGTTATAAGTAGAGTTATAAGTGCCCTAAATGGAGTTACCCCAATTATAACCTTATAACCCTACTTACTAAGTCCTCTGCCCCTCCAAGTAGAGCCCCGGGCTTTAGGGTTTGGGGTTTGAGTTCAGTGTCTCGGGTTTCGGTTTGGGGTTGAGACTTGTGCAGAGGGAATCGGGGAGTGTCCGAAAATGGGGGACCCAGTATAACCTTACCATAAGGACACCCAAATAGGATAGCCCCAGTTTCGGAAACTCCCATCTGGCTTGGGCTCATGGATTTGATGGCTTTCCCTGTCCCGAATCAAAACTAGAACGATGATCATCAAGAGTTAGTGATCAAACAACTTTGAAGCTTGGATTTAGGGCTTAGGCTTTGGGGCAGTAGTGTCGCCCTGAACCCGAAACAACCAACTGCAAAACTCCAAGCCCTAAACCCAACCTCCGCAGCCCAAGTCACCCAAACCCAAAGGCAGGGGCAGGAGTTTAGGGCTTAGGGGTTTGGGGTCTTAGGGTCTAGGGTTTAACCCCACATCCTCAACCGCAACCCGTAAGCCCCCACCAACCCAACAGGATGCAAGCCAAAAGCCTCGAAGCCCAGCCAGCGTAGGACAAGCTCCATGTTTCCAACACCCTAGTGTTTAGGGTTTGAAGGTTCAGGGTTAAACCCCAAACCCTCAAGCCTTAAGGGAACCCTAAACCCCTAAACCCTAAACCCCTAAAACTCTAAACCCTAAACACCTCAACCCCTCGAGGTCTCTCCCTTTAAACGCACCCCCCGCCGAGGTCTCCTGAAGTCTCCTGGGCCGGACATGGGCGAACCCGGATCCGGGTGCGGATTCGTGGTTCCATGGTAGATCCTGGCTCAAAACTGAAGGGTTTAGAGTTTAGGGTTTTGTGGTTTGGGGTTTAGGGGTTTAGGTGGGGTTTAGGCTTTAGGTTCCTTTTTTTAAGGGATCTATATGGGTTCCTTGAAGGGTTCTATCGTAGATCCTGACTCAAAACTGAAGGGCTCCTTTTTTTAAAGGGATCTCTAGATGGGTTCCATTAAGGGTTCTATGGTAGATCCTGACTCAAAACTGATTAGGGTTTAGGGTTCAGGGTTTATAGCTTAGGGTTGGTTTTGGGGGGATGCTTGAACAGAAAACCCGTATGTGACAAGGAGACAGAATCTGTCTTATGAGTATGTGCTTTTTTTGCTGTTTGCTCATCTGCCTGCTTATGTCCTATACTGCCCAGTATACTATAACTGTAATAGGGAGCCACCAAATAGTATAGGTAATAAATTTAAGCCCCTGTGTTATGGTACCCTGCTATAGATCCCTTAAAGTACCCCTCATGGACCCCTTTGAAGGAACCCTAGGAACCCTTACATGAAGGTTAAGAAGTTAAGACCATGGCTGCGGAAGCGGGGAAGAGCGAGACTCTGTCGTTCCCCGTTTCGCGCGTCTGATGTTCGGGTTTTGGGTTTAGGGCTTAGGGTTTAGGGCTTCGGGTTTAGGGTTTAGGGTTTAGGGCTTAGGGTCCAGTGTTCGGGAAGCTGTTGAGCTTCAGGGGTGGGGCTTTAGGCCGTAGGGGTGGCGATTTAGCACGTCGGGTTTAGGGTTGGGGGTTTAGGATTTAGGGTTCCGGTTCTACGGTAAAGGATTGAGAGCAGATTTCAACTTTCTAACTCCCCGCGTCCCCCCGGTCCGCCGTTTCGGGTTCAGAGCTACGGGTTTGGGGTCTATGCCGTTTTTGATAGGACCATCGGCTAGGAAAACAGCCGAAATCTTACAACGCCGCTTACCAGACGATGAAATCCTAGAACCTGATCCCTAAACCCTATACCATGACCTAACCCAACCCTTGCAAACGTTCGGACGGGTTTAGGGGTTCAGGGTTCAGGGTTTACCCTAACCTACCAAAACCTACAAACAAGTAGGGCCCCTATAAATTCCATATTAGGGTTTATAATAAGAACCTACAAAAAAGTAGGGTTTGGTAGGTTAAGGTAGGGCTTAGGGTTTAGAAAAGCAGAGGATCCGCGACGCGGAGGCGGATCTTCGAGACCCTGCCGACTTCGGGCGGATTGCTCTGCCGACGCTGCCCGGCATGGCACCGGCAGGGCCCTCTAAGGTCCAAATCCTCGTGGGGGGTTTCTGTAAAAACCTGTAGGATTTCCAGGAAAGCTCTGTAACAACTCAAAGCCCTGAAGCCTGAAGCTTAAACTCTTAAACATACAAGTTCCTGGATCCTACATCTCAGCACCCGAAATCGCGAGAGCTTCAGAAGCGAAACTTCATCGACGAGTCCTTCCAGCCCCCAATCCCCAACACGAAAACCCTAAACCTACACCCTAAACCTTACCCAAACTCTAAACCCTAAACCCCTGAACCCCTAAACCCTAAACCCTAAACCCCTGAACCCCTAAACCCTAAACCCTAAACCTCCTAGAACCCAAACTCTCCCCCCCGTCCCTGCAGCGCGACGGCTTTGGATGCAGCTGAAACTGCGAGCCGATGTGCGAAGAGAGTTTCGAGTTTAGGGTTTAGAGTTTAGGGTTTAGGGTTTAAGGTTTAGAGTTTAGGGTTTAGGGTTTAGGGTTTCCGACCCAGAGAAGAGACTCCAATATCCCGTAATTAAGGAATATACCTTCAATTGTAATAGGATCCCTAATATGCTAAATATTCCTTAATTAAGGGATATTGGAGTCTCTGGGGGGCTGGTTTTCGGGCTCCTTCGGTTGGGCGGTTTAGGCTCCGTCGGTAGGCTCCGTAGGTTTGGGCTTAAAGGGTTTAGGGTTTGGGGTTTTGGGTTTAGGGGCTGTAGGGATAGTGCGCAGCTCTTGTGAAAGAGGGCTCTGTCGTGAAGAAGCCCGATTTGAAAGCCACCCCACTGGGGATTCTTGAAATCTTCGGGCCACGTCTTGGTGTCGCTGTCACTGTTGGGGTTAGCTTAGGGCTTAGGGTGGATCTACCGTAAACCCCCCTAAAGTATGGTATACTTAAAGGATCATGGGACTTAGTAACTTAGGGCTATTATTGAGATAACTATACTTATAAGTACTTATATCCCCAATTAATTAAGGTACTTAAAACCATAGCTACTAAGTCCCATGATCCTCCAAGTAGGGCGTGGTTTTAGGGCTTCGGGCTTATGTTGTTGACGTTGGTACTGTTGCTGCTGCTGGGATGAGGAGCCAGAGCTTCGATCTACTTCGGGGGTCCGGGGGTTAGGGTTTGACGTCCTTGGGCCTTCATTGGGGCTCTATAAGGGTTCCTTTAATCTAAAGGGATCTATAGGGGATCTATATATACTGTAAAGGGTACTATAAGGGGTTTAGGGTTAGGGTTAATGTAGGAACCTGATTAAGAAACCTTGGGACTTTATTGGGGTTCCTTGTATGAATCCTACTATTTTGGGGCTATAGGCCCAGGGTTTCTTAATCAGGTTCCTACATTAGGGCTCATGATTTAGAGTTTAGAGCCCAGGGTTCAAGGGTTCAAGGTCTAGGATTCAGAGACTAGTTTGAATAAGCCGTTGTTTGCTGCAACTACTGCGAACCTCCTCCTCCTCCTCCTCCTCCTCCTCCTCCTCCTCCTCCTGCTCCTCCCCCTCCTGCTCTTACCACTACCGCTACCACTCGGAAATCTGCACTTTCTGTGCTGAGCTGCAGCTCCTAATCATCCTAACCCTAAATCGTATTCATTCCCTCGGGCATCGGCTCTAATGAGAAAAATCGCCTGCGCGCCCGAATACCCACATCCCTCTAAGGCTTCCTTTAAGGGATCTACCCAGAGACTCCAATATCCCTTAATTAAGGAATATTCCTTAAATTATAGTAGGATCCCTAAATATTCCTTAGTTAAGGGATATTGGAGTCTCTGGGTATAAGGGTTCTTTTACGGGATCTCTAAGGGCTCCTTAAAGGGATCTCGAAGGGCTCTCTTCAGGGTTGAGAAGTTAGGGCTCAGGGTTTAGGACACAAAATTTCGAGGGATGGGTTCGAAGGTCTGGGGCGTAGGGTTTAGGATTTTAAGATTTTTGGGGGGTTTAGGGTTGAGGGTTTGGGGTTTGGGCGTTAGGGTTTGGGAGTTTTCCGATTTAGGGTTTAGGGTTGAGGGTTTGGGAATTGGGAATTTAGGGTTTAGGGTTGAGGGTTTGGGAATTTAGGGCTTGGGTTTTGCGGCGTGAGTCTCGGCTTTTCTCTTCCACTCCAAAGCGCTTTCTAACTTTCCACAAGCAAAGCCTAGCCCTCAGCAAGTGGCTGCATGCTGCCCACTTGGAGGATCATGGGACTTAGTAACTAGAGCTATTATGAAGGTATCTATACTTATAATTACTTACAACCCCAATTAGGGTACCTATAACCATACTTACTAAGTGCCAGGATCCTCCAAGCAGGACGCAGCCAGAGAGCTCATGCCGTTGCCGGCCTCAAGGGCGGGACTGGTGCTTAACACCTACACTAAGGGATCCTTATGGGGGTTCCTTAAAGGGATCTATAAGGGACTCTTTAAGGGATCTTTGTAGGGTTTGGGGGTTCCTTTACACTAAACCCCATAAAGTTGGAAACCGGATTAAGGCCAAATAGTGCTGGGATTCCCTATGTATTACTCTTAAGGATTGAAGCTATGGGGTTTCCAACTTTTCGGCTTCTACTGTACTGGCATGTGGCTTCGAAGGCTTGGGATTAAGGGTAAAAGGTTCAGAGCTTGGGGTAGGTGTCTGTGTATCTATTTAGTAATCGGTGCTGTGACTCTGGTTGAATCTGGATACATGAGGCATAGGCCGGCAATGTTGAAGATGTCACACTGAGCAGCTGGACTACATTCTTGCTACCAGTAACGAGAATGTTCACATCCTAATTGTCATCAGCATCGCAAGAGAACACCTGATCTGCTAAACAGTACGTATGCGTCATTTGACACGCATGTTGCTACTTTATGCGTTCGTCGATGTGAGCTTTATCGCGTCCGGTTTGCTTGAATATTGTCTGCTTAGTCCCTGCGGTTCAACATGAATATTCTCAATTGGTCCTTCGCATTCGTCTGGTAGCCGATTTAATCCGAACTGCCTAGCACATCGGGGAGTTTCAAAAAATGGGGACCCCGATGTAGAGCCCTACTGCATTTTCGAAACCACCATTCGTCTGTAGCCATTGGCCGTCCCTGCTTGCCTTGGTGCTTGCGAGTGCTGTCGGCCCCATTGCCTTCTGTTATGGCTTAGGGCTTTGCCCTAAACCCTAAAATCCTAAACTTCTAGGTTCTCGGCGCTAAACCCTAGATTAGCGATAGCTCTGTCTTGTGTCTTGAACAGCTCTAACTCTTGTCCAAAGCACCTGAACCCCAAGCGGTTTAGGGTTTCGGGTTTAAGGAACCTCATGTGAAGTTACCACGATTGGGGATCTGCAGCAAATACTAGGCTTTCCTCCTTAATGTGACTTAAACTGAGACCCTAACTCCTAAACCTCAAATCCTGAAGTAAGTTCTTCAAACCTAAAAGATAAGGTACTTATAACTTACGCCATACTTACTAGATCCCATGATCCTCTCATTATAGAACCTTTCTAGATCCCTTTACGGAACCCGATTATCGAACCCCATAGTGCCCTTAAAGGGAACCCTAAACCCTACTTACTAAATCCCATGAGCCTCCCATTATAGAACTCCTATAGATCCCTCTAAGGATCCCTCTAAGGGACACTAATATAGAACCCCATAGTACCCTAAATCCTCCAGGTAGTCTTCCAAGGAAGACCCCCGATCTGGGGAAGATCACTCTCGCGGACCGCAACTATCACAAGGATGTGTTTTTAGGGTTTTAGGGTTTAGGGGTCAATAAGGCTATAGGGTTTAGGGTTTAAGGTTTAGGGTTTAGGGTTTAGGGTTTAGTTTGATAGGATGTGTTTTTAGGGCTCCTAAAGAAGATCTATAAGGGTCCCTTTAAAGGGATCTACGATGCTGCTCTACACATTAGGGTCCCGTTTTTTGGGCTCCTTAAAAGAATCTAAAAGGGCGTGTGCAGGGTTTCCAAAAGGGTACTTTAAAGCTTCTGCATGGGTAGTTCTCTAAATAAGGGTCCAGTTCGGGGCCGGTGCCGTTTTATAAGGGTGCCATACTTTAGAAGGGGCCCCCACCCTGTAATAGTGACCATAAGGATTATATAGGATTATATTAGGGCCCTATTATATTCCTATTGTACCACTATTACAGGGTGGGGGCAGCTTCTAAGCCATACTGTATTTTGGGATCTACAAAGGGTCCCTAATTTGGAGAACTACAACGACCGTATAGTCTATACAGCGTTGAGGTGTTAGGGCTCTGCCCTCTGTTATAGCAAGGATACTTAGAGGATCATGGGACTCAGTTTCTAAGCTTATCACTAAGGTAACTATACTTCTACTTACTTTTAACGCGAATTAAGGTACTTATGACCATACTGACTAAGTCCCATGATCCTCCAAGTAAGGCCATCGGGTAGCTGGAGTGGCTTCTGCTGAGCCCGGATGGGACGGGTTGCAGAGTTTAGGGTTTCAGGTTTCACAAACTCCCCATGTCTTTGCATTCACACCTCGGCTTTTTACAGCTTCGCGGCTTGCGCAAAACCCCACAGCCCGAACCCTAAACGACGATGCTTGAACTTGCCCCATTAGGCAGCCCGTAGTGCGTGCGCATCATAGCAATGAGCTCCCTGTGCCCCACCAAGACAACGTTGCTGCTCAGCGCTGCTGCCATAGCCTCCACATCCGCAAAGGCGACATCGTGGATCTTGTATAAGAAGACGGTGCTTCCTGGATTTAAGCTGTTGAGATGCTTGGCAATGTCCTCTGGGTGGTCCTGAGTAAACCACCGCTTTGTTTCAGAAAATGTCACGATATCTTTGGCCACCACCGGAGGAACAGCTGGCTGCACCGGAGAGAAGATACCCCGGATCGTCGTGTGCGCATATGCGGCTACCGTCCTTTCCACAGCAGGCTCCTGATTATAGTTGTCCCAATGGACATAGGCGCACATGTCGAGTTTCCTGGCAGCTTCCACCGTGAGGTTCCTCAGGATCGCTTGCTTAGTGTTGGAGGATGGGTGAAGGAAGCCATAGCCACTGGGCCCCATCAAAAAGCTGTCAGCGTCCCTGGTGCGATTTGCTGCAGCGAAGAACCATCGCAGAACTGTGGGCGCGAACTCCATGAGACGGTTTGAAATCGTCCAGCCCACCGGAGGGCCTGAATGACTCCGAATTAGGCTGCGGAGTAGTACATCGTATACCATGTAACTCATGTAACTTTACCAGATATTATAGCTATAGTCTAGGAAGAATGAAGGGAGGGACACCCTAAACCGAAGTACTTGTCACCGGAGGGCACACAGCGGAGCTCCCAGAGCCGCGATCTTTCGCACAGAGAGCCAAGCGCTCCTCCATTCGAGGCCTAGAAAGCTCTGGCGTTTGGGGTTCTGGGGTTTAGACATTTAGGCTTTGGGTTCTGGGGTTTAGAGATTTAGGTTTTGGGGTTCTGAGTTTACTTGGAGGATCATGGGACTTAGTAAGTAGGGTTTAGAGTTCATTTTAAGGGCACTATAGGGTTCTATCATAGGGTTCTTTAAAGGGATCTAGCAGGGTTCCATAATGGGAGGATCGTGGGCTTAGTAAGTATGGTTATAAGTACCTTAAATGGGGTTATAAGTAACTATATAAGTTTATTTACCCTAGTAATAACTCAGTTACTAAGTCCCATGATCTTTTAAGTAAGGCTCCAGGGCTTTGTGTTCGATAGCTCTGCAAGGCACTATAAGGGCTCTATACGGCTTCTATGAGGCCTCTGTTGTATTGTTAAGGGTTCTAGGATTCCAGGATGTAGGGTTCAGGGCTTAGTGCTATACAAAGGATCTACAAGGGCTCTATAAGGACAGTTTCTATGAAAGCTCTGTCACGGATCTATTGGGGTTTTGAGTTTCGGGTGCAGGGTTTGGGATTCTTGACTAAGCATCAGGATTGCTTTTGTCGGCCTCAAGGAGTTGTAGTCCAGCTGCATGTTGTCCCCGTCCGAAGACAAGAGAGCCACATAGATCTTGGACGGGTCGTACTTCGGTATGGGAAGCAGAGGAACCTGCTTCAACGATTGCACCGGCGGAAGGAGCGAGAAAAATGCCAAGTTCGGAGCGAAATCTGAGACGAGGGAGATCTCAGAGTGGCTGCTTGTGCAATCTGCCACCACCTCGGAGCCTGCGAACTAGTTTGGGGTTTCGGGTTTTTGGGGTTCAGGGCTGAAAGGTTTAGGGGTTTCGGGGTTTAGGGTTTAAGGATCTCGGAGCCTGCGAAATATCCCATGATGGACAGCTCCCTGCCGGCTTCCGATAGAAGATCCGTCACCTGCCTGAAAAGCAAGTTCCCCTGCGTACCATTTGTACACAAGTCATCGAGCCACATCACGAACATCTTGTCTTTCAGAGCCAAATCCTGGGTTGTAGTTGACGAACCCCACAAATGTTTATAAAAAGGTGCCTGCAGAGACCATAAGGGAAATCTGCCAAACCCTTAACTCTTAACCGGTAGCCCGTAAACACTAAAGTGCCACCCAGAATCGACCAAGAATCCTTCCGAGAGTAGCTGCGGTGTCTGCACGATGATGCGCGACGTCGTCATGTTCTTCAAGACGCCTTCCTTGCAGATATTTTGGGTTTAAGGCTTAAGTTAGAGTTGAAGGCTTAGGGTTTGGAGGAATTGCTAACCCAGCTTAGGCTCTAAACCCTACAAGCTGGCACTCGCAATGCAGACCCAGACCTAACACCCCAACACCCCGAACCTCAGAGTCTACCCTGTAGCTAGGATGGGGCTTGACAGAACCGTATGACCATTAGTAGAATCTGAGAAGGGCTAAAAAGACAATACTGTCACCCCAAACCCTGAACCCTGAACCCTGAGCCCTGAACCTTAAACGAAACCCTGAAGCCCTGAAACGCTAAACCCTAAATCCTGAACCCGGAACCTTAAAACCTGAACCCTGAACCCTGAAACCCGGAAACCCTAAACCCTGAACCTTAAACCCCAAACCCTGAACCGTGAACCTTAAACCCTACCTGAACAATGAACAACAATGAACCTTAAACCTTAAACCCTGAACCCTGAAACCCTGAAGCCTGAAGCTTAAACCCGAAACCCTGAATCCTGAATCTTAAACCCTAAACCTTAAACCCCAAAACCCTGAGCCCTGAACCTTAAGCCCTAAACCCTGAATAATGAACCTTAAACCTTAAACCCTGAACCCTGAAACCCTGAACCCTGCACCTGAAACCCGAAACCCTGAACCTTAAACCCTAAACCCTGAGCCCTGAACCTTAAACCCTGAACCTTAAACCCTGAACCCTGAAGCCCTGAACCTTAAACCCTAAACCCTGAACCTGAAACCCTAAACCCTGAACCGTAAACCCTGAACCCTGAACCTTAAACCCTGAAGCTCTGAACCTTAAACCCTAAACCCTGGCACTCTAAACTCTGAACCCTGAAACCCTGAAGCCCTGAACCTTAAACCCTAAACCCTGAAACCCTAAACTCTGAACCCTGAAACCCTGAAACTGAAACCCTAACCCTTGAATTCTAAACCCCTCCACCCCTCAACCCTAAACCCCTCAACCCCTAAACCCCAAATCCTAATCCCACAGCGTCCCCCGGATGCGAGTCTCCCAGACTGCTCCATTTCTGGGTACCTTAAACAACGAGAGCGGCTATACTACTAGGTTTAGGGTTTAGGGGTTTAGGGTTTAGGGTTTAGGGGGCCATAATTTAGAACAACCCCCATGTAAAATTAGCAAGTCTCCCAGACCAGTGCTTGGGTCGCTTCCACCTGGGAGGCCCATCTCCCGCGCAGGTCCGCAAGCACCGGGAGGGAAGGTTTCAGTGAGACGCCTCCCGGGGGGGGGAGGGTTTACGGTGCTTTTGGGGTTTAGGGTTTAGGGTTTCGGGGCTTAGGGTTGAGGGTTTAGGGTTCAGGGTTGGTGGGTTTAGGGTTTAGGGCGTAGGATATGAGTGGTAAGGACCCTAGAACGAAGCTAGTCTCCGCGCTCCTGTCTGGTGTTTAGGGCTTACATGGGTTTCACACCTCCCACAACGAGAAGGGGAAGCGCCTGCATCAATGGGAATGGCAGTATGCAAAGCCGCGAGGCTCACGGCACCTAGGTTGGCCCTTTAAAGCGTCTGGCAAATATTCGTAAATAAGGCCCGATTAAGCCCAATAAGGGAAAATATAAAATGTACAAAAAGGCCTACCTGATAAATTAGTATCCCTCTGTAGCAACCAAAACAAGGCGACACCCCATAAGAAGGACCATAAAAAGTGGCCCGAATTTAGTGAACTGCCCATATAAACCAAGCCCACCCCTAAACCCTAAACCCTAAATCCTAGACCATAACCCTAAAATGTCCCCAAGGCCTACCGAGGCACTCGCAAAAGACCAGGGCTCCGAGGAATTCACGAGGATTCGCCCCGAAACCGCCCCGGCCGCGACAGCGGCCTCCAGTAGGTCAGGCCACTGAACTTCCTGGAACTTCACCTGCTTTGGTCTTCATATTGTGGTTTAGGGTTTAGGGTATAGGCTTTAGGGTTTAGGGTTTAGGGTTGGAACTTCACCTCTTTTAAGCTGCTATAGGGGCCTTAATAATTAGAATAGGGTTTTGGGGCCCATGATACTATCACCTGTTTTAGTCTTGATATTATGGAACCCCTTCTAAGGATCCCTTTAAAGGGGACCCCTTATGGAATCCTTTGCCCCCGAAAGCACCTCTTTTAAGCTGGGCTCCATGGCTACTATAGGAGCCTTAATAATTAGAATAGGGAATACGGGATGTAAGCCCCTAGATTATAGCATCCTTACAATAGCTCTCACATTATAGAACTTATAGAACCCTTTCTAAGGATCCCTTTCAAAGCTATGGAACCCTTTTAAAATTAAGGCCCCCCAAAGCACCTCTTTCAAGCTAGGCTCCATGGCTAGCGCTGTCTGGAACCAGTCGGGATCTGCTGGCATCTTGCGAAGGTAGACCGCCGGACGACCCAACTTTTTGTTCAAGAGCCCCTGAAGCGCGGCCACGGTCATACCCAGCGGCGGAGGCGGCATGTCCAGAATGAAGCCTTGCAGGAACCCTTATGGTACCCCTTGAAAGGAGCCCTTCTGGTACCTGTAGTGATATCCGCTGGAGGATCCCTTAAATTAACCCTGTACAGGCACCCTTTAACCCAACTAGCTGAAGAAACCCCTACAGTAGCAATCTTATGGCACCCCATATAATAAGCCTGTAAAAAAGAACAAACCTTAACAAGGAGCCCTCAAAAAGGAACCCTGGAAAGAAAACCTTACAGTACCCCTTGTTATATCTTGTAGTAATCCTATTTTACAGGAAACCCATGATAACCCTTCTAGAAGAACCCCTTAAGAGAACCCCTAACAAGGAGCTCTGAGAAAGGAACCCCAGCCTCCCCTAAACCCTAAACCCTAAACCCTGAACCCTGAACCCTAGCCTCCATTCTCCTTGTCCAAACTCTGTGCCCCCAGCGCCAGTGCGAGGAAGCCCAGGGCGCCGAAGAGGCCCCGAACAGCCATGGCCGCTGCACTCCACCAGGAAGACAATATGGGAGTTTCCAAAAATTAGGGGTACCTTATTTGTAGTAAGGATCCTAGTATTTAGGGTACTAGCGGTTTAGGGTTTGGGTTTAGGGTCAGCAGAAGCTTCACGACAAGGCCCACACCTCACTCGCAGAAACACATCAGCTGGGGTGGACACGTCTTGCCAAGCTCTGTCGGTTTCAGGACGAACTGTCCGGAAGTGTTGCCCTAAGCCCCGCAAACCCTACACCGTAAGCCCTAAGCCCTACACCCTGACTGATTCAGTTTCTCTGAACATCTGTCCGACATTCTTGAAAGCCCACGACGGTAGGGTTTCGGGTTTAGCGTTGATTTCGGATTAGGGTTTAGGATTCAAGGCTTCGGACTCAAAGTTTAGGGTTGTCTTCCCGACCAGGTTGCTACTATTCATGGCCTTTTGCATTCACATTGTAACAATTATCCAATTGCTACTGAGTAGATCACAAGGTCCAACTTAGATGCACATGCTCTTGCGATCTTCCAATCTCCCACCATTCCCACACTTTCCACACTGAATATTTGGGGGTAGTTCTCCAAAGTTGGTGAACCCAAAAGAAAGCGACACCCTGATAAAAGGGACTCCTAAGAAGGACTCTAATTCAATGAACTAACCATTTTGAACACCAGCGCCTTCGGCCTAACCCCTAAAACCCTAACCCCATACCCCCTAACACCTAAACACCCAAACCCCCAAACCCCTAAACCCCTAAGCCCCTAAGCCCCTCAACCCTGAAACCCTAAACCCCGAAACCTCAACCCTAAGCCTAAAACCGAAGTCCCTAAGCCCCTAAACCAGCGCCTTCGGCCGCTCGCAGCGCTGATGGCCCCGGACCCATGGAAGCCACAGCACCGGCATCGCCGCCCAAACCCGACACCCCCAGACAGGGTTTTCGGTTTAGGGAAGTTTAGGATTGAGCTCAAAAGCCCTACTTGGAGGATCATGCGACTTAGTAACTACGGCAATCAGTACCTTAATGGGGGATATACATAATTATAAGTAGAGCTACCCCAATAATAACCCTAGTTACTGAGTCCCATGATCCTTTACGCAAACCCTAAAAAAACCCTGCACCCCTGAACCCTAAACCCCTAAATCCTTGACCCTGGTAATTTAGGAAAGCGAGTAGAAGTAATTAACACCCCCGACCGCATGAAACGGGTTTCGCACTCTTAGCCCGGTGGGACAAAGAAGGGCAATCTAGTAGAAACATATAGGAACCAAGCTTTAAACTGCGTCGGGGCCGAAAAGCAGTGATGACGGCTTTCCGGTAACATCGATGTTGCCATGTCCGAAGAGGTGATCGGAGAACTTCTCCACACCTGTTGATTAAGCCCGAAGGCATCATGCGATCTGATCAGCTTCACTTTGGCAGAGCACTTCCTTGCCCTCTCTCCTTTTCCGGTAGGCTTAGGGTTCAGTGATGTTTAGGGTGTAGGGTTTCCCTGGACCCTAAGCCCTACAAACCCCAAACCTCTGTCTTGCTCTCTCCAACCCTAAACCCTAAACCCTAAACCCCTAAACCCCCAAAGCTTGAGTTTCTTTCTCTCCCTTCGCGAGTATATACCCATTATATGGTCCATTATAGGCCCATTAAGGGTCCCTCCTTTTGCCCTTGGACAAACTGCAAGCCTTTTGAAGTCCATGGTTTACTTCTTGGCTTTGGCTACTTGGAGGATCACGGGACTTAGTAAGTATGGTTATGAATACCATACTTGGGGGGTAAGAAGCAACCATAAGTATAGTTACCCAATCATAACCCTATAGTTACTTAGTTACTAAGTCCCATGATCCTGCAGCACGGATGTCTGACCGGGGGTAAGAGTCACTAGTTGCTCACTCTCGCTTCCCGGTGAGCTTTCACAACGCAGCCCGTTTCTCTCCGAACTCAGAGCGCGCAACGCGCCATCCTCAAGATGAGGCCGTGTCCCAGATCCCACTCCCAGGAGCTGAGACAAGAGGAGCACGGAAGCCCGGAGCCCTCTCACAGACAAGAGCTCTCGGCGCCCTCCTCGGTCTTCGGCCTCTCTTTACCCGAGCTCCGGTGCTCTCACAGCCAAAGGCTGTGGCGTGATCCTCAGATCCCGGATCCTCTGGGAAGGCTCGGAGGGCCTCGGTGAGCGGCTACGGGGCGTCGGCCGGCAGCTTGAAATGCTCAGAGAGCCCTTGCAGTCCAAATTTCAAAACCCTCTCCGCGTCGACATCGGGCTTACAACGCCTGTAGATCCCTTTAAAGGAGCACTTACGGATCCCTCAAGAGGAATCGAATCCGGCCCCAATCCTGAATGCTTTTCGGGACTCTCCCTGGACGAGGAGTCCTTGCAGAAGGATCCGACACATCCGACACCGAACACCGGATCCAGGGAGCTGCTGAGGGCTCAAGTGGAGCTTGAAAACATCTCCCTGCAGCGCTGAATTCCAAGGGATCAGTGGAGAAAAAACGTGGCCTCGTGGAGCAAAACCAAGGCTTCGTGGTTCGGAGAAGTTTCGAGTCTTGAGGCTTGCGGAAGAGATGCAAGGCAAAGACTCTCGGACGTTGCACAGAGTGACTGCATGGTCGTCGCAGCACGGCACTGATCTCAACGATGGCGTAAGCAACGCCTCTCTGCACAGTGGAAGTGTGAGAGCATCAGCCTGTAGGCAAGTCGAACCCGATGGAACAACTTTGGCACAGGTCTTGCCAGTACTCGAGTCAGCAAAGAAAGCTTGCGCCCCAGCGGGGAGCTCTGAAAATTTCTGGCTAAAGCCCAGAGAAACGATCCGAGGCCACCCCAAATCCGGAATCCACCGGCCAGGCGAGGCCCTGGCCCTGTTAAGAGCTGTCCGTCAAAGCCGCTGGAGCACGATACCGCTGGCTCTGCGGCGATGTGCGCCATCCCTGCCTCCGAAGGCGTGAGCCTTAAGTTCTTTGATTGTCCCACTTTCACGAAGCGTTGAGTCCTTGAATGTCCCTAAGAGCCCTCAATGTGCAGCTTTCAAGCTCCTCCACCATCACCCTTTTTTGGCAGCTCCGCCGCAGCCCACATGTGACACGGCTGCAAAACTGCGGAAAACGGCAGTCCTTTAGGGTTTAAAGTTTAAAGGCCGTCTAGGGCCTTCTGAGGCCGAGGCTCCGGTAAAATCGGGTGCTCTAAACCCCAAACCCTAAACCCTAGATATTTTTTTGGCTCCAGGGGCGCGACAGCAGGCCTTTAATGGACGGCAGCCTCCACCTCGGCTGCAGAAACGCCCCGGCGCCACTCGCGATTTTGGAAGGACTTGGGGAGGGCCTGTTGCGACCTCGGATCTCCATCTAGGGTTTAGGGTTTTGGGTTTAGGGTTTAGGGTTTGGGGTTTAGGGTTTGGGGTTTAGGGTTTAGGGCTTAGGGTCTAAAGCCTGCAGAAACCCGAGAGGCTTGCTGAAGCAGCTCGCTGCCTCTTCTTTGCTGGCTGCCTGGGGCAAGCCCTGCGCGCCCTAAACCCGAAACCCTAAGCCTGCTACGTCCTGGACCCCAAAAGCCCCAAATCCTAAGCTCGGAAACCTCCCGAGGCTCAGTTTCGAAAAGCTCCGCAGTTTCCTTCGGCCCGGGATCAGTCGCCACTTTGCTGGAACTTCAAAGCCTCGGAAGCCAAGAGAAAGAACTGGCGGAGTGGCCTCCGAAGCGCTTCGGGCGGCTCTTCGGAGGGCTCTTATGGAGGTTTCGGGTTTAGGGTTTGGGGTTCAGGGTTTAGGGTTTAGGGTTTAGGGTTTAGGGTTTGGGCCCCTGACCTCATGAAGCGCAGCTCTTCGGGCGGCTCTTACGGGGGGCTGAAGGCTGCCGGGCTCAGGGGAAGGGACCCCTTTAAAGGAGCCCTTAAAGGTAGTATTGGGGTTCCTTTAAGGGTATAACAGACAAGCCGTGGAAGATGCGAGGTGTCGCTTTCCCCGCGCTTCGGAGCCCTCTCTTTACACTGGAAGGAGTATAGTACCATGAAGAAGAGTACCCTCGATCACCCTCTTCTGCTTCTGCTTGTTTGTTAACGCACCCCTGCAAGGACTTGTTAAAGCGGCTGATGGAGCTTCGGAGGCTTTGCGGCCACCACACAGGCTGCCAAGGACCCTCTTTTCGCAAGCTCTAGTGACGCATGAGACGGCCGAAGCTCGGGGTTTAGGCTCGAAGGAAACCTAAGCTGGCTAAAGCCGGTACGGTTTAGGGTTTAGGATTTAAGGTTTGATTCGGGTCAACTGCCTCAGTCTTCGAAGCCGCCTGAAAGTTTTTAGGATCCCAAAGCCCTCGACCGGACTCCCTGGATCGAATGGCTGCCTTTGACCCCTCTGAGGCTTTGGTGATGGCAAAATGCCTGCGCAATCACACCGGAGCGCACGGGGATAGGGAGTCGAGGATGCGGAAGCACAGGCCCTTGCGCATCACTCTTGCCGAGGCCCAGCGTCGGCCAGGTCTCACCAGAAGCGAAGCACGGCCGTTTCAGAGCACCCTAGGTCCCATCAGCATCCCCA